ACAGCTTGGGGAGAATGTCTCGGCCCCAAGGAGTCTCAAGTGTGGGGTTCCACAGGGGTCAATCATTTCCCCAATGCTGTTTAACATCTATATGAGGCTGCTGGGTGGGGTCATCGAGGTGTGGGGCATCCTGTCACCAGTACGTTGATGACACACAGCTCTGCACTGCCTGGAGACTGTACTGGATTGGATGCCGTCAAATGGATTGAGGCTGAACCCAGACAAGACGGAGGTCTTGAGGGTGGGTGGCCCCTCCGTCAGCGGCATAGGTGACTCCCTCTCTTTTGGAGGGATGACCCTCGCCACAAAGAGCGAGGCCCGCAGCTTGGGGATACATCTGGACCCAGCGCTTACCATGGAAACCCAGGTGGGTCCGTTCCACCTATTTTCATCTATGGGGGATTGCCCAGCTGCGGCCATATCTTGATCAGGGGACCCTCACTACTCTAGTCCATGCACTCGTAATCTCGAGATTAGACCATTGTAATGCACTCTACGTGGGGCTACCTTTGAGGTTCATGCGAAAACTTCAGATGGTCCAGAATGCAGCAGCCAGGCTTATTAGTGGGGTGAGAAAATTTCAGCATATCTCCCCCACTCTGGCTGCACTGCACTTGTTACCTATTCGTTTCCGCATCGACTTCAAAGTGTTAATGATTACAAACGGTTTGGAACCTCAATATTTGGCAGATCACCTGCTCCTGCCCAGAGCAGCAGATGGGCGGAGTTTTGTGCTGCTCTGGAGAATCGCTTCCCTGCGAGCAGCCCAAAGGTTTGCCTTTTGGAACAGCTGACAGGTGGGCCTTTGGGGGGGAGCGGGGCGCTCCTGATTGGCGCCTGCCTTGGGAGGAGGGAGGGAAGGAGGGGCGAAGGGCCTGGCCCCAATCCCCACCACACTCCTGGGGCTGGCGCTGAGCCAGAGTGCTGCAAAGGAGGAGGCTCTGGACCGGGATCAGGGCGGCAAAGGCTGGACGGGCAGGGCGGCTCACCAGAGACCTCCTCCTCGCCCCATCTGTGCCCTGCCAAGGAGACCGGGCGTCCGGGGCTGGCTGGCTGGCTGGCGGTCAGGGGCACGCCCCTTCCCGGCTGGCTGCCTCTGAGCCCTTGCTGGCTGGAGACAGCCACGCTCACTCCCCCCTCGCTCTCGCCCGGCCATGAAGACCAGGCTTCCGGGGCTGGCTGGTGGGCCTAGGCTGGCTGCCTCTGAGCCCTCGCTGGCTGGAGACAGCCACGCTCCCTCCCCCTCGCTCTCGCCCGGCCATGAAGACCAGGCTTCCGGGGCTGGCTGGTGGCCTTAGGCTGGCATGCCCCTTCCCTCCCCTCCTCCCCACCCCGGACAGCTGCCTTCTTCCAGCCCGCTGTTCGCCAGCCTTCTCCCGGTGTCTCCCACGCTAGCTGGCAAGCAGCGTTAGGCTGGAGCGCCTCTTCCCTCCCCTCCTCCCCTCCCCCCAGGCGGCTGCCTCCCTCCAACCCCTCGCTTGCCGGCGTTAGCCGGGTGTCTCCTGGGCTAGCTGACTTGCTGGCGAGTGGTGCGTGGCCTGCGCGCTCCTTCCCGAGCCCCTTCCCACGCCCCTTCCCACCCCAGGCGGCTGCCTTCCTCCGAGCCCTCGCTCACCAGAGAAAGACCCTCCGGCCTACCAGTCTGTTCCCCGGGACAGCCCCGGCAAGGAGACTGGGCGTTGTCCGGGGCTGGCTGGCAGTGGAACTTTGCTTTGCTATGATCGGTTCCGATCATAGCAATGCTTTCATAACAGCTGACTGGCGGTTTCAAAATGGCCACCCGCTGTTTCTGGGACGGATTCCTCCCTTACCGAACAGCAAAAATGGCCTTGCTATGGAGGATCTTTGCTGAACGGTGAGTTTGAAGCCCATAGGAACGTATTATTCACGTTTTAATGTGTTTCTATCGTCTTTTTTGCCCCGTATAGCGACGAATCCGTATAACGACGATTTTTCAGGAACA